AGTTCTAACTAATTATGTATGACTTTTCTTTTCCTTTCTGGATACTAGAGTCAGCATGGATCTGAGGGTGTCCAAAGTTTGATAAGAACAAGAGACGGCTTGAAAATATTTGACAACATGAAGCATTATTGAAGAAACCAGATGTATTTGTTCTAGGGAGCCAGAACCAGAACTTCCAGCAATTGCAGACTCCTCAGTCAGCCTGGCGTGGTTTCGTAGATGTGAACATGCTGTCACTCCTGGATCAGACACAAAAGACATGCAATAGCAGTAGCTTCCCGACCCGTGCCCAGTTCCTACAGGACAACCTCATGACGTCTGGAACTGTGCACGTACACACAGTGGGTTGCTTGATGATAAGAGAGAGATCTCGAATTTGGGAAATACCAGTCTCTTATAACGGGCTGCAGGCCACCCCGCTCAATCGTTTTCCTTGGAGGAATAGATACCATCTCAAAGCGAACCTCTTCACAGAGAAAAGCATCTTGCCCCCCTTGCCAGAAAACTCTCAGAAATACAGGCCTGCAGAGTGCAGAATTTCAGGAGTGACTGCATCTTGAGAGCAGTCACGGGAAAACATAATAGAAACCTCTGTCGTTCCAGATGCAGAGCAAGATCCACTGGTGGACAGCGCAGGAAGAGACAGACCAGCTGATGAGGGTGCACTTTATACAAGGCAGAGCAAGAAAAGAAATGCAATGGATGCCTTAAGAAGTCAGGTGAGGTCAGGAAGAAGCCAGCCTGTCCTTTGTCACTGGTCATTAAGGGGGGAAAATGCATGTAATAGAGAAATTTTAATAGTTTTGTAGGCTTCTTCCTGCACTCAAATTAGCAGAGGAGAGAGGGGAGCAAAGTACAGTAATACCCCCATCTTGAAGAAAGACACCCCCCCCCCCCGAGTAGAAGCTTAAAGCCCCAGGTAGTCCTAAATCCCACACAGACTGAAGTTTTTTCCTGTGCTTGCACGCCCGTGATAAATTCTAATTTATAAATTAGGACCATTAAAGGGCCAACAATGATAGAATAATTATAGCGACATATGACTTTTTAAAAAAATGATACGAAGGTTATCTCTCTGTTTACTTCTGGAATTTTCCATGTAATATTTTCAGACTGCAGTTGCTCACGCGCCACTCGACTGCTGAAAGCAAACTTCAGCTGAGGTGGCCGGGGGAGGGATGGCTGCAGCCAAGAAAAAAAAAAAAAAGGCAGAACAGAGAAGGATAAAGTCTGCTTTCAAACTCGAGCTACTTCTGGACGGTATGTGTTCTGAAGCTCTGACTTGGTCCCCAGAGCACCCAGGTTTCCCTTTGATGACCCAAGGATGGGGCAGTAGTAGCCACAGGCTCTGTGAACACTGCTGGAGTCTTCCTTGTCTGTCCTGCCCCTTCCGCTAAGAAAAACAGCTCAGAAGTCTGTTTGGATTAAAGAAACCTTGAAGCCTTATCCTAGATTGATTAGCCTGTATTTTAAGACAGCATCTTTCTAAAGAATCTCTTGAAATCTAACTGGAAATGATGCTGACACCTAAGCTTCAGGATATTTAAAAATAATGCCTCAGCTAAGGGATTTCTTTTTCCAAAACAAGCGTTTCCGTGCCGCGGAAAGAAACTAAAATTGTAACGTTCTGGTCAATCAGCAAAGGGATATTTCTACTCATGGGTTTATTAGCTGGTCCTTTTGTCTGGATAGCTCTGGATAACACACAGACTAAGTGACGTGTCGCTAAGCAGTAGAGAATGATAGAACCAGACCCACGAGCAAAAGTGAAAGACAGGAAGCTGGAGATAAGGGTGAACTTTATATCCTGTGCCTGTGGTCCTGCCATGGGACCCCTGCCTTTTTATGTGTAAAGCGGGACTCCCGGGATGGGCAACAACCATCTTTCTTTGTGGTTTCCAAGAACCCCTGAAAATTTGCTTCCTTCAAAACAGGAATAAGCTGGGCATTCTGGGGTTGATGTCAGGGCTTGGGAGAGAAGGGGAACTCTCTCTTGAAACAAGCTTTAAATGAAAGTCTTCCACCTCTAAACAGTATATTTACAGGATCATCAATCTGGATATTGTGAAAGCCTGTGGGATAGCGGATCTTAGAGGATTTTGTGACTCTTTGGGATGTGGCATGAGTATTCATTTGTAGCAGGAAACTGGAACAAATTTCTGCCCTACAATAAATCCAGCAGGGCACTCTAATACTAAAAACAAACACACAAAGAACAACAAAAAGCACCTTGGAAAGGGCCCCAGACCTGCTGGGTCCTGGTTCTTACAGCCAGAGCGACTGTGGCATAGGAAGGGCTCATGTCTACAGAGTGGACGCTTGCCTGGAAATTTCACTGCTCCTTGTTCAGAAACAAGATGTACAGACAAAGCTTAGAGGACTGTTTTTCAGGCAAATAATCCCTTGAGGCACAGGCCAGTTTGACCCTGGATTGTGTGTGCCCAGTGTCTTGGGCACCATTTCTGGAAACGGCATTATAAATCAATAAATGAAACATCTACCTCTCACTTTACCCAGTGCTTTGGGGCTTACAGTACTTCTCTAAAATAATCAAGTTTCCATATGTTTTATACATCAATTCTGAAAATTGACGTTCTAAAACTACAAGGTTCGTGTTTTAATTATTTATGGAATTTTTTTTCACCATAGCAAATGCATCAATATACTTAAAATCTGAAGGTGTTTGAGTATCACACCATGCAGTGAGGACAATAAAAAGGAAATTTGTGTAGATTTATTTTTTTTCTACATATATAAATATCTGCAGAATCTAGCTTCTGCCTCCTGAAATTTTGTATCTTCCCACAGCTTTAACCCTTGAAAATAGAATTCCCCATACTGGTAAGCTTATGAATCCACCAGCAGGGATTGAGTTCATCTCCTTCATATTTTAAGTTAAACATGTTTTATGCCTGTCTACACTTTAAGAGGGTTCTTGGAGGAAGAGATGTTGATCTGAAACTTGAGATGTCAGAAAGGACATAAACCATGGCTTTGTAATTTAGAGCTCAGACTACAAATGGCATTGCTGTGTTTCTTTCTGAATCAAAAAGCAAATCTGGAGTGACCTTGGAAAACATTTTTCCCCATCCTGAGATGCAGAGCTACATGATAAAGGTCATCTCATTATAAATATCTTGTTAGATAGGCAATGCTGCCCTGTAACTCCTGTCACCGGAAAGGCAGGGGTGGGGGTGGGGAGAGAGGCTTGCCTGACATTTGCATCTGACCCCAGGGAGCTGAGAGTAATTATGAGTGAGCATGTCTCAGAGATCAATTTACTCTGAAGAGCCCAAAGCTTTTTTTTTTTTTTATCACTTGTGGTACCCTTGCCATGGTCAGAGGATGGGGATGGGAACTCAGTGAGGGCAATAGAATAAGGAGTTGTAATCTAATGGAAAAAATAGAGTGGGTAAGAAAGGGAGAAAGGCTAGAAGAGCAGGCTTGGGGAGACCCAGTGGGCTCACAGGCAATGCCTGGGCTCAGAGGCATCAAACAGGGTGGGTGGGTATTTCTATTTCCCTTATAGAAATAGAAGTTGGGGTTGCCCCAAGGAAGGGAGCAGAAACTGGGATTATCACAAGGGGCTTCATGTCATTTTCCTTATTATGAATCTGCGGTGACTCTCACTGTGACCAGTGTCTTTCACAAGGATAACTGCCTCTCCACTGTCTACTCCAGCCAGACCTCCCAGCCCAAACTTCCTCACTCAGACCATCATCTCCTTATTCTACAGCCTGTTCTCCTCCCCTTCTTTGAACACATCCACGACACCTCTGTCCTCATAGGTCAAGTTCTAGATTCTGTCAAAACAATAACTTACACTGCATAAGGCTTGGTACCAACAGCCCAGATGTGAATTACCACACTGGAGTGACTGTCTCTTGGAACACTGTCTTCCCTGACTATTTCAGCTCATATCCATCACTACCCATGTTTTATCTTCTGAATCATTGTTCATTAACTCAAATCTATAGACTCAAGCCCTGGGAGGGAAGATTGCAGTTTCTCCAGAAGAGAAACTGAGGTGTTAGGAGAATCTCAGGTAGACTGTTGAGAGTTACTCATTGTATTTGTTTATTTATTTCATATAGGGTATCATGTAGTTCAGGCTGGCTTCAAACTTACTATGTTCCCGAGACTGCTATAACTTCTTATATTCTTCCATATTGTTTGACAGATTCTTACCATGTGGGACATTTATAATACAAATCAGGATATATATTAAGTTCCCCCCAGATGATTCTGAGGTGTCATTTCAACAATGGGTCACAGACTTTTCCCACTTAACTATCTCTCTAGGCTTGTGACATTTTCATGCATGCACATTGAGAGTATTAATCTCCCTCTCTTGGAACCCCTGCTCCTTCCTGGATCCCCCCTTTTTTTCTCCTACATCTCCCTTTCGAATAGGCTGAATCATGCTGGGTAATCTGTAGGCACCCTTCAAAGGAAGTGGGGTGAATGAGATGACATTTCCTGCTCTCTCTTCTCCTTTGGGAGGATGTTACCCATTCAGTACCACACACCAGCAGCAGCACATTTATCTCAGCAAAATGAGAGGATAGCTTGCTGCATTTTGAAAACTTTTATTTGATAACCATATACAGATATAAACACATACGCCTCTTATAACCATAGTCTTCTCGCTAAGCAATCAACTTCCTTTAAAAACAAAACCTTGAAGTTGCACTTGTAACCCTTTAGTTTCATCAGAAATGTAAAGACAATAAATTCAAACTATACATCAGTGCATCTACATGTGTTAGACATAGGAATACAGAGACTGAATTAGGCCT